GATGGACGTATTCGGATATCTATTGAATTGAAGCAGAACAAAGTTTATACTCACAAACAATACAAATACATTGACAGAATAGTTCTTTACACAAACAATGGAAAATGTTATAGAATAGCAGTCTTTGCTGAACCTAAATATTTCATAAAGCAAAGAAGTTGGTATAACTGAAATGGAAAGTTCTTGAAGCAGACAAAATATAACTTCAAACTTACAGATATTACTAAAGGAAAGTTTATAATACAATATTATGTCAAAACTGGCGTACTGTCAATATTTGACGGAGAGAAGTCAGTTCAAGAACAACTTACTGACCTGCTGCCAAAATCTGCTCGATGGAAGCTGTCGTTATGCCAATCTGAGGAGCCCCAGCAGGTTTCATCGAACGAATCTTCAAAAGAGCATCTTCCGTGAAAAGTGCCATTGGTTTTGTAAACTTCTTTGCTCTCAATTCATCTGGCCGTCTCTGTCACAGTATATTGTATTTGAACTGTACCAACAGTTGAAATACCACCCAGAAAGTCTTGAGTCAGCAAATGGAATGCCAAGCCAAAAGTTTGAACGGTCTCCATTTGTATATTGAGTTTTTGACCTCCTGTATGAGTCCATACTTTCACATATGGCATAATAGAACTTTGCATTTCAGGGTTAATGGTTGTTGTGAAGTTGTTGTTAAAGTTCATAGCATCTAATGTCAAGTTGTATGACCTCATATCCTCAACTGTAGAATATTCTCTCTTGGATAATATTTGCCATCTATGTTTATATGATATTTAATACCAGGGTTGTAGAAACAAGAATAGTCATTTATAGTTCGTCTGAACAGTACAAACATAGTATCTGCATGTTTCATTGCAGTTGTTAAAGCAATATCTGTTCTTGCACCTGCGGCTCCTGGATTTTGGTTTCCAACTTCACCTGCAAAGTCTTGACAGATATTTGGTGTATAGGGAACATAAGTGGAACTGCAATATATTTGGCAGCTAAAGCATTTGAAATATCTGGGTCCAACATATAGACTGCAAGTCTGCTTTCGATTCTCTTGCATTCAAATTTTTCGCATGTGAACTTAACTGGGTCCAAGCAGTTCCAGCAGCATTGAAATAATAGTTTACTTCATTGTTGAAGTTTGAGAAACCAAAGTCTAAGTCAACTTTGTCTTTGCAAAATCGGTGAATGACGTTTGATTTGTTCCCTTTACGTCTGTAATAGTGAATGGGTCTGTGTTGGTGCAATGACTAAGTTATTTTTGCTTGGAGTAAGTTCGATAGAAATTTTTCCTGCCCAGTTTGGCAAGTACTTAAAAACCTGAAGATGAGGAAAGATGACAAAGGAATCTAAGTTCAGTTTTACTTTAGTGGCAGCAGTTCCATCTGAACCAGAAAGGTTAACATAAACTCCTGGAACGTTAGGGTCAAGTCTTCTTATTTTCTCAATATTTGCATACTGGTCTGTTTGTTCTCTAGCTTGTGGTTGTACTGAGTTTCTCAAAGCGAACCATTCATAGTTTGCCCATGTTACTGTTTGAACTAAGTCAGAGTTAGAATATATCTTATATCCCATGAAAACTTCTGGAGCATATTGGTATCCGACATAGAAAATTCCATTGCAACCTTCTTGTCAGACAACTTGGCAGAAGGTTTTATTTCAATGTCTTGTTCCACGTATAAGAATGAGTTGTCAATAGAAATAATATGAAACTTGTCGCAAGCAATATCTACTGTGTTGAAGAACCTTCTCCAAACTCACCTACGTTTCCATAAGAAACAGCAGTTGTATATTCGTAAGTTCCAGGAACTATTTCTGACCTTCTAATGGCATTGTCGCATTCGTTATACCATTCGGAAACATTTCCGTTCATGGCATCCAAAACTGTTGGCGTTATATTCTGAGCGGCGTACATTTCATATGGGTAAAATATAGAATAGTTGGATTTATTTGTCATAATAGAACCCACTCGTACCAAGCTTTACTTTCTTCCTGACTGAGTTTTAACTCTTCTTTTCCTTCATTGCCACTACTTTCACTAGATGAAGTTACTTCTTCACTACTTTCACTTTGTTCTACTCTTCTTCTTTGGTGTCGCTTTTGGTAACTTGCCCTCTGCTCCAAGTTGTAGCATCTTTGCCTCATGTTCACCTAGTATGTTGTAAATTTCCCATGTCCTTTTTGCCTTTGGGCTCTGGTCGCCCATCTCAGGTAACCTATATCCTAGAAAGATTTTGTCATAGTTTGTATTTGAGTCTTCGCGTATTGTTTGCATGACTCTTTCCTGAGTTTCCGGTTCAAGCTCTTCAAACAGAGCTTGTCCATATGGAATAAGCTCGTTTCCAAATATATGTTTTTGTAGCCATTCTGGTTTTCTTTCCATGTAACCAATAATATCTTTTGTGAATGGGAAAGCTTTACCAACGTTTCAGTCTTGCGTCATTTATTTCTGTAGTTGGTTTTATTTTGTCATGGAACATGTTTTTCAATACTAACATTTCATTTGGTACTGTCCATTTGAGTTTTCTTAAATATTCATCCCTTCTCATTTCATTGTCTGCAAAGTAAGTTTTTATGACATTTTGCAAACTTTCGTTTGCAAGGTCATGTACAATAGGTTCTCTTCCTTCTCTCTCCCTAACTTTCTTTCTAAACTCTTCACCAAATATACTATCACTATGGTTCTGTGTAGTTCTTTGAGATAAATGTTCTAGAACGTCAGGTGTTATATTTCCCTCAGCCATGTTCATTTCATACCGGTCCAAAATATCTGCATCTTTCATATCTTTCAATGGCATTAAAGCCGCGCTGAAAATACCAGTTATATCTGGTTCACCATTCAATTCCATTGCGTCTACAACTTCTTGGAATTGAGGTTGTAAGTTTATGAACCACCTATACGGATTAGCTTTATGACCCCATCTCATTGTAGTTCCATAGTCTGCAGAAACAAAAGTAGGTTTGTTTCCATATTGGTTAGGTTCTGAATGAACTTTAAACAATGTTTCATTTCTATATGTTTGTTGAAATTTAACCTTTATTTTCACCGAGTTCAGCCAAAGATTGAACGTTATATGGTCGTAAGTAAAAAGGATTATTGTATTTGCGTACATTTTCTTTCAGTACTTCCATTCTATGCTGAATATTTTCATCTGATGTTGGAGTCTTTTGTATGTCGGTGAACATTTTTCGATATTCTTCTACTATGTCAGCCGAATTTTTCTTAGACTCTTGGAAAGATTCCATATTCACCTCATACTCTTGTTGAGGGTCAAGATTTTTCGGCTGTTCCAAATCTTCATCTAGTTCTGTGAAGTTAGTTTCCAAAGGAGGGACTTGTTCGTTTCCTTCAGGCTCTTCTAGCTGTTGTTGCTGAACTATTTCTTCCATGTCTGGTTGTATCTGAACTTCTTCCTGTGGAGTTTCTTGTACCTCATCTGGTGGCATTTCATATATTCCGAGACCGTTTTTAACAAGTTCCCTATCTAAGTCATCCGGACTCATAAACCTTTCTTCTTTCGTTCCGTCTCTATTTTTTACGCGTTTCATGAAGAGAGTTGAATTATCATTTAGCTCTGACATCAAATATCTCGGAGTAAATTCATCCATGTCATTTGGATGATATGCTATTAAATCATATCCCTTAGCGAGCTTGTATTTTCCAGGTTTGAGATTATATCCGATTTGATGCTGAACCATAAAGCTAAATAGGTTCGGGTCAGTATTTCCTTCCTTGAACTTTCTAATAGCTTCTTTATATCTGTCACTAAAGTCAAGAGTATCTGGGTAACCATAATCTTCCTTAAGCATTTTTAAGAATTCTTGGTTTCCTTTTTCTCTACTTCTTTTATGTCCTTGCTCTGTTTGTGGTTGTTGTTGTGCAGGGTTTTGAACTGTTGGTTGTTGTGCAGGGTTTTGAACTGTTGGTTTTGGTTGTTGTTGTGCTGGATTTTGAACTGTTGGTTGTTGTTGTTGTGCTGGATTTTGAACTGTTGGTTGTTGTTGTGGTGCTGGATTTTGAACTGTTGGTTGTTGTTGTGGTGCTGGATTTTGAACTGTTGGTTGCTGTGTTGGTTGTTGTTGTGGTGCATGCCTGTGTCTGTGTCCATGTGACGATGTAAATGTTTTAGGTAGTCCTGGTGCAGGTGCTTCTCTTGGAGGGTTTGGTGGTATATAAGTTCCACCAGCTGGCACATATGTTCCATCTGCAGCATAATGTCCTACCTGACTTTTCGTTTTTAAGAAAGCATTTACTAGGTCTGTTTTGGTCTGTTGTAACTCTTTTTCTTGACTTTCCACAACAGTTGCTCTAACGGCGTCATAGGCACTTTGAACTGCCTGTCTCGTTGCTGCATCTGTTATTTTCGTCATATTTTGTGCTACTTCTCTTAACTCTTTGTCGAAACCTTCAGACTTCAGTTTCTTTCCAGATGAGAAGTCGTTCACTAGTTTCACCTTACTATGAAGAGCTTCGAAGGCATTCTTAAAGTCAGCATTCATTAAAGCTTCATTTGAACTGTCTTCATCCGCTTGTATTTTTGTCCTTATTGACCCTATAAGTTGGGCTGCTTTAGCGTTGGCTTGGGCATCTAACCAGTCATTATTAGCTTTTATATATTCTGCGCTTTTCATTGCCTTTTGCATGGCTGCGTCGTTATTTTTACTTTCTTGTGCTAAGTTTTCATACTGTACGGTTTGGTTTTGCAACTGTAAAAGTTTTTCTGCCTTTACATTTGCTTCAACTTCTTTTTTATACTCATCGCTATCCATATATGTCTTCATGGCTTTTTGTTTTATCTCTTCATCTTTCAGTACTTTATATTGAGTAGTATGGTTTTTCAAATTTATAACATCTTGTTCCATTTTTGCTACTTCTGCTGCTTTTTCTGACACTTTTTTCGCATATTCCTCTGTACTTAGTTCTTTCAGTTGTTCTTCTTTCTTCTTTTTCTCTACGTTTAACTCATTGAGTTTCTTTGTGTGTCTGTCATATTCTAGTTTCTTTTCGTTTTCACTTATTTGTTTCTGTATGTCTATGTTTGACTTTTTGACATCTGTTATTTGATTTTTGAGTGAACTCAAATTCATTTGACTTTGAGGGTTATAAGCTGTTCCGTCTGCAGCTCCACCATAGCCTGCCATTTTCGCTAAAAGTGCCGCTCTTAAACCCCCACTCTGTGCACCAATAACTCGGCTTAAAAGCATAGGGTTGCTTGACATTTGTTGCAACATAGTGGGGTCATTCATCATTTGTTGTTGCAACTGTTGTTGTGGTGTCAGTTTTACTATTGGATGTTTCAATGCTCCCTTCCTCTTACGTATATTCTTACGTAGCTTACGTGGCATTTTAAGTGAAGTTAAAAAGCGGTTTTTGACAGATGTTTATATGACACTATTTGTTCAGCACAAAAAACTACTCGGTCAAAGTGTTGTCAGTTTTGTAAAATAACCGTCCTATCTCATTCTATAAGGGGAAAAGGCTTCTCAAAGTATACTTCCTTGGAACGCCTGTAACTTTTCCTGTAGCGACGATAGACCCTTACTTGTCCGGACAAAGTTATACTATTTTGAGTGCTCTACAAAAAAGTCAACGGCTGGCTCGTCCTCAGAAATTTTTTATGGGCTAGAGGGCGCAACGCGCCTGGAAGCCCCACTACCTTTTTTTCTTTTTTTTAATTCCGGTTTCAACATGATCAAATGCCAAACCAAGACAAAATATATATGAATTTTCAAAATATCGATTTACATTAGAATCTATATCTAATTTTATCAATACACAAGTAGGGAATGTTCAATACATCTTTGAACAACGTGAATAGCACAATTTTATAGGATTATTTGTTGATTATATAAAATATAAGCCAAATCGAATCTGCTGTATAGTACTTTAGTTTATCATTGAATGTTAAATGTGTTCAGATAAATATTTGAGTCAGATATCGCATTTTCTAATTTCAAAATTTATCTCATGAAGTTAGAATTTATTTGATCATACAACATCATGTTAGTCAAACTAGAGTTCAATGGCGATTCTAAAATGGAACAAATGCTTGTTTTATCAAAATGTTAAAATATTAATCTAAAAAACTTAATATCTAACCAAACCATTCTAGAATTATTATATACAGGTATAGGCAATCTAAATGCACACGGAATTCGGAAAATTAAAAAGAATATTTATGAGATTATTAAATCTTATGTAATTCAATGAAAAGTAGATAATATGAATATCTATAGGCTATATATCAACATATGAGTTTTTGGTTTGACCAATACTATACTAATGTGATCAAATTAATCTGATTTCTTGGGTATAGAAGATTTTTATAGAAGATTATTTTTTAACATATATAGTGCCGTTATACCATTCAATATCAGACTTGTTTTGCTTTTTCCATCCAATTGGTTTGAAATGACAATTTAATTTCACGTTCAATATTATTATCTAATCTTATGGATTGTAAATGTTCAATAAAATTATTCGAAGTAGCACATCGTTTCGAATTTACGTTACAAGAGTTCAGAAAAACTAAAATCATTAAATATTAATAAGCACATGAATTATGTAAAAATTTTAATAATCAGTTTGCGCAATTCAATACTTCGATAATACAAAAATTTGAATAACTAAACGTACGTAATATTTTTAAAGATGACTAGCGGTGTTGAGGCCGAAGTACAAGAACAGCTTAACTGGATGCAATCCCTTTTAAGTACACCATCTACTAATGATGCAGCAAGCGCATCAAAGAATAAGTATCAAAGTCAGATCGATGATCTTCTCTCATCTATTGATTGCCCTGCGCAGCCAAAGTCTCGGTCATTCCAAGACTCATATACTGACTTAGAAATTGAGCCACGTCCATCCTACGAGCCTTCATTCTTGACTGGAGCAGTTCCTCCTCCAAAGGAAGTGCAATATCGTATTTCAGATCCTGTTGACAGTGACTATGATAGTGACTGCGAAGAGTACTATGTTGAAGATGCAGAAGAAATTCGTGGTCAAGAGATTCCATCATGGGCACGTGCAGCAAATCTTATTCAGGAATTAGAAAAGCAGAAGGGCGTTGACCCAGACAAGATCTTTGTTGGATTTGATACATCTTGCGATCTGAATGCAATGTTCGAAAAGAAGAAGAAGACCTTCAAGGTCAGAGGCGACAGTGGTTGGTGGGCTGCCGATACTGTCACACCAGATGAGGAAGCTAAATATAAGAAAGCTCTCGGACTTGTCTAAATATATTAATCAAATCATGTAAGCTAATACCTATGGATTCATTTGTTGCTTAGTACCTGAGCCACTAAGTGAACATTTCCAAAACGCAAAGAAATAAACATTGTAAATTCCTAATTTTTATTTTATTTTTTTTTTCATTATTTCATTATACATTGTATATTAACTCTTGCAATGTTGGTAACTATTTCATATCTCTTTTACAAGAATAAAAGAGATTTAGGAAATATTTTGTAATTATAAAAATAAAAAGAAAATTATTAGGGAACATTTTATGATAGAAGGAAAGGGTATTCTTTTCTTTAAAATTCGTTGACAATCCAATTAATAATTGAATCAATATTTGTCTTTTTCTTAGCAGAGATGCAGAATAGCTTAACTACTCGATCTTGAATGTTCTCCAATTTCATGCGTGCCATGATATCATCGCTTTTTAGAGATTCTGGTAAGTCTTGCTTATTTGCAATAACTAAAATTGGCTTTTGTAATAGTGATTCACTATGTAGTATTTCAGAGAGTTGGATTTCGCTTGCAGTAACTGCTTCTTGGTCAGAAGAGTCAATAACATAAAGAATAACGTCGGCACGATTGCAATATTCATCCCATAAAGGTCTTGATTTCTTATTACCACTCATATCATGAACATCGATGTTAACTCTGCCAATTGTGACTTTTGAGTTTGAAGCTCCAATCGTAGGAACTATGTATTCTTCTGTATCTTGATTTGCTAAAGCTCTGACCAAAGTGGTTTTGCCAGCAGCTGGCAAGCCAATTATTGTTATTGAAATATTCTTAGACCAAAACAGACTGAGTAGCCATTTCCAAAAACGAGTGAAAAGATTCATCTGAAATTTGAAAAAAAAATTGAGGGAAATCTGATTAAAATCTATATCTTTGATGGCCATATATGTAATTTTGTGTGGCCGTATGAAGATATTTTTTTCGCAGAAAAAATCTTATTTGGCAAATCGCGGCAAAAATTCAACCTTTCAAAGAGCATTCTTCTTTCATTAACACTTTACTAAAGTTAATATAACACAAAGTATTTAAACAAACCACATCATCCATCATTACAAAGCAGTGTTACTAAAGTTGTTTTTCCATAAATCTCTTTAGAAGATGTAGATTTTGGTTCTAGTGAGAAAAAAAGAAGTTTTTAGTTTGATGATATAAGTACTGCTAATTTAGGATATGAACAACATCAACAATACTTCAATACCTACTTGAGGATCTTTCAAATTTCCTGCGTCGCTGATTACGAATATGAATTATAAATTTGGGGACAATGTCATATGCGAACCTTTGAACTAAATCCAAGAGTGTTTTAAATGTACTATATAATTATTTTTTACTTCTAATAAGAAATTCTGCCTTTCTTTTCTACTATAGTATTCTGCTAAATGAAGTGCGGTTTTTCCTTTGTCATCTTTTTCATTGATATTTGCGCCATGTGAAATAAGAAATTCTGCCTTTCTTTTCTACTATAGTATTCTGCTAAATGAAGTGCGGTTTTTCCTTTGTCATCTTTTTCATTGATATTTGCGCCATGTGAAATAAGAAATTCTGCCTTTCTTTTCTACTATAGTATTCTGCTAAATGAAGTGCGGTTTTTCCTTTGTCATCTTTTTCATTGATATTTGCGCCATGTGAAATAAGAAATTCAGCCATTTCTTTATTGCTAAACAATGCTGCAAAATGAAGTGCGGTTTCTCCATTTTCATCTTTCTCATTGATATTTGCACCATGTGATAGGAAATATTCGCAAAGAGATTGAATATTAAATCGCTGAATGAACAAAGCATTGGTTATAATCATTAGTTTGATCGAAATAAACAAAAAAGGATTCAAGATTATGAAACCATCCGCAAAATCTTATATCAATCTCTAAATTGTATTTATTTATCAAGAAAGTGACGAAATCAATGTTGTGTGAAATAATTGCATAATTCATGCATTCTTCGTCTGGCTCTTGATATTTCAAACATTCATTCATGATCTCTGGTTTTCCGCTTAAAAACGAAAGTTGTAGACAATTTTCAGTTATTTCTGAGCTGAATTTTGATCTTAATAACTTGAAACAATCAACTGCACCGTAGTAACAACATAACTCAAGTAATGAATAATTTAAATAATATTCTGGATATAGGTCGCTTTGAAGTATTTGATTTTCATCAAATCCATCTCTTTCCGTGAATATGATGAATGTTTTTATGTCATCATTCATAATTGCTTTGTAAATTGTATTTTCTCTATGAATATCGAGATTTTCTAATTTAATTTTTTTGAAATTAGCATATTTGCCTAATTTAATTCCATATTCCTTATAAAACAGGAAGTTAGAAAGAGGTGAGATTCTTTTGGCCTCTTGCACATGATATTCATCAGATATGAGTTTGGCGAGAGATAAATATGACTTTGTATAGCGATTATTATACGGAATTATATTTAAAATATCTTCTATAATATTTCTGGGGAGACATTTCTTTGAATCAATCAATTCTGTTTTGATCTTTTTGTAAATTGTGTTTAACTCTTCTTCATTTTCCGTTTTTAGCTGATATAATGCAGTATATGAATCGATGTAGCATTTATAGATACTTTGCAATTCAATGAATTTATTTGGGTGAATGTCTTGATTTGACATGAAAAAAAAATTAAAAAAAAATAAATCATTAATTAAATGGTGTGCTACCCATTGGCTTAATATGTTGCGGGCTGCTTATCAAAATCTAATCCAAAAGAAATCAAAAATGTTAATGAGGACTTCAATAAGTTATATTTTGATATAAAATCAAAAGGATGGCCTGAGTATGTGCTATTTTTAAATTAAAATGTATCCTAACAATTCATTCCATTGAAAAGTTCGTTTTTAATTTTATCAATAAAAAATGAGCCACGCAGTTCTTCGCTCAAAAGTATTAGTTGTTGGACCTTCCACTGTTGGAAAAACCTCTTTAATTAAAGCATTTGTTGCAGATCCACAACGTCCTTTCAAGACAGCTTATCAGATGACCTTATTTGCAGAAAGTACACCAAAAATCATTGTCAACGAAGAACATAATACATCTGTCGAATTTTTCATGTATGATATCAGCGGATCTTCTATTTATGAATACGAATATCCAGATGTTTTCCGTGATGCAAACCAAATTATATTAGTTTTCGATATTTCTCGCGCTGATACATTGAAAGAATGCAGCGATTGGCTTGATAAGGTTGCAAAGTATGCTGGAAAATCATTGCCTGGTGTTCTTGTTGGAAATAAGAATGATCTTTCTGAATTTGCAGATGTTTCTCCAGAAGATTGCACTGCATTTGGAAAGGAAAAGGGATTAGTATATTTTGATGTTTCCGCAAAGACAAATAACAAAGTTAATGATCCATTTGCTTACCTTGCAGAACAGTTCATTTCTTTGTATGAAAACGAGGTTGATCAGTTTGTTAACGCAGATTAAAAATCGTATCTTTATTCTTATCGTTTAAATTCCAAATTGTCTAAAAGAATTAATAATAAAAAACAAGCAAAAGTAATAATTTGGCCTTTGTTATTTTACTTCTTCATTACAGAACAGGGAATCTCAGGAAAACAGTTACATTTCTTTTTTTGAAAGCAATTTCTAGCTTATCATTCTAGTTTGAAAGGATTTCCATGAGTGTGAAATGATCATAATGCATGAAATTTGGTAAATTGAGAAAAAATAATTTTGAAAAAAGATATCAACAAAAATAATATTTGGGCCATCAGCAATATATAATCAAATTTTCATGAACTATCACATATCTACTAAAACATTAGTATTAAGATTTTTGAGAGATAATAGAGCTAATATTATAGTATTTTAGAATGTATCCGAGGACATTGTATGGACTTTTATTACAGAAATATGAACTTCTGCAAATTAATTGCAAATAAGCTTTTCACATTAAAAAGATGATTAGATCTGAACCAACAAAACATATTTGTTCTTCCAATTTAGAATGAAAATGAAGTACAACATTGTGACACTGTAATTAATATTGTTGCTCAATCATTATGTCTTGAATTCCAAAAAAAATTCAAAAAATGCAATTTAATTTGAAAAAATACAAATTTGCTATTGAATTTATTAAATACTTAAAATTTTGGAATTATAGATCTATTTTACATTTCAAGTTTGATCCAAAAAACACTTTCTAACATTAAAAGAATTCGATAAAGCCGAAATTATACTTATTCTTTTTGACATATAAAATAAATTTTTTACTTGACAAAAATTTCGAAACTGTATACGTTTGAATGAGCGCAGCACGAGGTAATGTCTCAGAAACTACAAAACGTATGCAAAAGTATATATTAGACGAGATGAATGAATCTGGAAGTACAAATAAAATAAATGCTTTGTATATGAATGAAATTTGCAAAGCCGTATTTAATTCTAAAAATAACGAACGTCTCAAGTCAAAAATAACGACAAAGGATAGCAAGGCAAACTCTATTGCATTTCAATTAGTTCAAAAGTTCTTACAAAAATATCAAATTTTAGATTTAACTAAAGAAGCATTTAACATGGAAATTCAGCAATCACAACTAAAATATGGATCAATGGGAAACATACAAGAACTTAAATTACAACAAACATCAAATCCAATGAGCGAATTATTACAATGGAACGAAGAGCATGTCGAAGAGAAGAGACAAATCGAAGAAGAAGAGCAAGCTAAAAAGAGAGCCAAAGAAGAAGCGCTTCTTGCAGAACAAGCTCGTTCATCTCAAGGTTCTGGCAGAAAAGCAGCAATTATACAAGAATCAGCATTTGCAGAACGTGAATTTGCAGTATCAACACGCGATGTACCACTTTCTCCTACTGGAGAGTCATTTAATCGCATCAGATTTGCTCCAGAAGCTCAATCCGAGATGCCACATACATCATTCAGGTTTGTCAGACGTGAAACACAATCTATGCTTCCAGAAGGTGCTCGTTCTCCAAAAGGAGGCCCAAGATCCCCGAATGGAAAATCTTACGCTCAAATATTCCCGAGAAGTGTCGTAAACACACCTTTAACAAACAATAGAAGCGCTCCATCAGTTGTTTCAGCTCAAACAGAAAGACCACGCATAACTCCAATGAAATCTCAAAGAGAAAGGCCAAAACCAATACAAACAGATGCGCTTTCACAGTGATCAAAATATTTAATCATTATGATTACTTATCAAGTCATTTTTGTTTTTTATCAAGCTTATTCTAAAATTTTTTTTTCTTGTTTTAATCATTTTACTTGTAAAGACTAATTATCCAACTCCTTTCATAGAACTGACTAAATACGTGCCATAAAAATGGGTAATTGAATGTTTCTTCTCATCAAATTTTATTTAGAGATAAATTATTAACGTTTTGTTTGATGTAATTAGCTTAGATACTTATATATTCATGAATTCTTTTATTCATCCTTAATAACAACAGCAACAATTCCAAAATTTATAATTGGTTTAATGCGGATTTTGAATTAATTGTATTATTACCCTGCACCATACTTGAATAACTTAATCCAGTGTTTTAGCAAATGTATTCTATAACAATTCAAAGATGAAAAGATATAATGTGAATTTCAATAAATTCTTTAATTTATTGCAATTGTATATAATAGAACTAAGAACATCATACATTGTAACCGTTACAGTGTTTGAATTTTAAAAATATTTTATAAAAAAAATAATAATAATATTTGCTTGAGATTTATTATTTTAAATCCAATAATTACATATAAATAATTTCTATGCTTTAATGACGTCCCTTGACCTTATCAACTGACTTAAGAATTCTAAGAGGTTCAGAGGGCTGAAGAAGTGGTCTATCAACCTTGAATCCTGCATCTTCGAGTGTCTTCATACGAATTTCCTGGTTTCTCTGCCTCTTTGCGAGTTCATCAGCTCTCAAGTAGTTAGAGTCCTTAATAGCCTTTGTAACATCGGAGTTAACATCGACTGTAGTAGAACGCTGAACTTCGTAGCCAGATTTAGCTTGAACGAGTTGACGTTTCCAAGTAGAAAGTAAAGATTCTCTGAGATCAACAACTTTCGGTGAAGTATTCTTTGTATCGATAGCATTAACTGTTTCAACAACACCAGATGTCCTAATTTGTTCATCATCAAGTTTGTAAGAAGCCAAACATTTGAGAATCAGTTCTACGATGGTAACTGTTGGAAGTGAGCCATCTGGGAAGCCTTTAATCCATGTCTTGAATCTATCCAATACTCCAGACTGAATTAAAGCCTTTGTAAGTTCCACATCATGAGAAACTGGTTCCAAATTCTTTGTCAAGAACATTTGACGTGCAAATGTGCGTGTTGTCTTGACTATCTTTGATTGGTAGTCTTGGTTGTAAGCGCGATCCATGTCTTCAATAAGACTTTTTGCACGGGCTTCATTAATCTTTGAGACTTCATCTGGATTGTCATCAACAACGCGCTTTGCTTTCCTTGGAAGTAATGATTCGAATTCTGCATCAATTGCTTGCTGTTCAGGTGTTAATTCAACTTTTTGCTTTGTAGACTTCTTTTTAGATTTTGATTTAGCTGGTTCTTCATTATATCCATAATCATTGTGAGTATCATTATCATTGTCCGAAATTGCGTTGTATGAATCAGCTTGATAATCATCATTCTTTGGAGGCTCTGGGTCACTATCACTTTCATCGTTATGGGACTTAGCAACAAGCTCTGACTTATGGTTGGTTTCTTCATTATCACTTAACTCAAGCTCTTCATCAGACATTTGGCTTCAGTGTCAAAACCGTAGAATTTTTTTTCCAAAATGATGATTTAAGCTATTCTTGAATGAGATTCTATTGATACATAGAGCTTTCAATCCAAATAAATACAATATAATGCATAGTCAACAAAATTTAGAAATGACTTCCTGTAATTTATAGATATTCTTACCTTTATAACTTAAAATCTCATAACACATATATAATTTTTATTAGTAATCCAATCATGGAATTAGAATTACAACAGCTTTATTCATTTTCATCATTTTGACAAAAGTTTAAGGGAGGCTTCCGACCAGAAGCAAGAAGAGACCTTGATAATATTGATCCCTTATTCCTCCAGATAGATTTATTGAGGATTTGTTCATCAATGTTCTTATTATATTTCTCTTCTAATTCTAACAAATCTTTGCTCAATATTACTCTTTCTTCTTCTTGCGCTTCGATCACCCAACCAGCCTGCTCAAGTAAATCAGATGATAGCTGTTGAGACTCATCCTTTTCAATTGAAAATTTCTCAAGAGCTGGGAAAAGAATATTTTGGCATAGTTCATATAGATTCTCATCATAGTTTTCGGCAATTCTCTGGTTGCTTCCTATCTGCTTCATAATTCTTAGACACTGGCTGAATTCCAAGTAACTGTCGATATATTTATAAAGACCTATAAGTGATTCGTCGTTTGAGATAAGCGATTCTAATATCCAATTGACGGGAGACTTTTGTTCTTTCATCTTTTGGATCAAGTGTTCACAGAAATCGTAACCAACTGAACTAAGCGATGAAATTAGGTCCTTTCTTTCGATTTTATCGATATTTTATACGTGCAATTGTAGTACATGCAGGCCTACACGTATTAATTCTAGGTTTCCAACATAATAGCCTACATTAAAGAGGTCACCGGCTATTTCGTTAGTGATTGAAAGATAAGAAATTTTTTCTCCTTTCATTACAGTTTCCAGTAGTTTGTATGTCAATTCCGTCTTCACAAATGCAGAAAATTCAATTTTTTTCATAGTTTTATCCAACTTTCTAGAATTGCGAATACTATTGCTGAAGTTTTCAGCGACCACTGATGTCGTTTGGAAGGCATGGCCATCGATATACACTGATATATCAGGGTAATCAATTATAGAATAATCCATTTATGCAAAATGATTCAATCGATTTTTTAAAAAATCCAATAATTCAAAAAAGTCAGGGATTGAAAACTTAATTCTTTCATATAATTTGTATTATATGGATGGATCAAAAATATATGGTTCCAATAAGAAAATTATAAAAAATCCAAATAATTTGTGAGGAAACGTATTTTGAAAATGATTTGCATTCAATTCTTTTTTGACATCCAAAACAAAATTTTGCATTCAAAATAGTCTGAAAAAAATATAAATAGTCTAAATTGATTAGAATTCTTATATAGAAGAATCTTAATGATTTTAGCGAAAAAATTTTTATCCCTTCAAAAAGTAAAAATTGCACCATATCGTCAATCATGCCGGCCAAGTCGCCAAGAAACAAAAAAAATCCAATATGATATTTTTATCTCGTAACTACTTTAAATCACAGAAATACTTGTTTTTAGATGATACAACAACAAATTGTTTTTGAAATTCGAAAAAATATGATATTATGAGTAAAAATATATATTCAAATAAATTGTTTATATTTACACTTCCGTTGCAATAACTCTTTGGCGCGTGTCAATCTTCTTATCAGATTTTTCCACCTTTATTACATAACCAGGCTTCTTTTCAGAGTCAGCATTTTTAATTTTCTTGAGGATTCTGGGGCTTCCTTTTCTTGGACTTCCGTCATTTGGTTTTACAACATCATTAATCAAGATATTGTCAGGACGTTTGATTTTCTTGTACATTTTTACTCCAGGCTTGAGTTCCATGTCCGGAGTTATTGGTACAATTCTTCGAACAGTTCCATCGCGGTCAATAACAGCTTCTGCTGGAAGAAGTTTCGTATTACGAGCTCTGAGAACTTCAGGGTCGTTCCAATGAACAAAGAAACGGGAAAGAAGAACAATGAAATTGTAGCCACATGGCGAATATGGCTCTCTATCAGTTCTAATTAGAGCTTTTGAGAAATGCGCGCCGAGTTTCGTGATGGCAACAAAGATAACATCAATATCGCGTGCCAACCTGGAGATTTCCGTCATTCCTTCTGTGTAGTCCGGCAAGATCTCATAATCGAAATCAGAAATATACATAATGAATTCGAAAAGCTTGTCGTACGTATGCTTCTCCAGTCTGTCATTGATATCAGAAAGATGTCGGTCGAGTAATCCAAGCCTAAAGACCTTTCTCAACTGAAGAATTAATGGTTTGAAAATTTCTTTATGGGCGACTTGGACTTTGAGGATTGCTTCTGGGTTCAGAATCATATCTGAAACAGGACCAAGCAAGAAAAGTTCCGAAATCAAATCATATAACGAACCAAGATTATTATGATGCAAAGAAGCGACTTCTTTAACAATACTTAGGAGGTGGTGGAGCTCAGGAGATACATAGATGTAACTCTGTGAGATAATCTTGATCACTGTCGTTAATAAAACAACAGATTTGTCAATTGATGATTTATCATCAACATTGACATTGGAATCATCAATATATTTAACAAGTGTCTTCATGAAATTCATATAATTGCCACAGCTCTTCATGAAAACAACATTAACAAGATTTTTCAGATGATATGGAGCTGTGATGTCAGGATTGGACTCAAAGAACTTCAAAACAACAAGTTGATAGAATTGGTTGATTTTGCCTGCATAGCAGAAGATGTTGAATAAAGATCTCATGAGAATCAAAGATTGTTGATGATCTGGAGGAACAAGTTCAAAAAGAGTACGAACATAAACAAAATCTGAATGTGTGACTGCAGCATATATTGCCTGATAAACTTGGTCAGGATATGGCTCGATAATTGATGACATAAAATTATAAAAAGGAATTGGATCATTCATACATCTGATCCATGAAAGGATATGTTGTGGATCCTTCAAAACAAGATTCTTGCATATCGGTTTGCCATTTAAGCCGATTACAGAAATTCCATCTCCTGTTTTTGTTCGAATTACTTCTTTAACGAGTCCTTCTGCTTGTACAACAAGTTCTTTATCTTTAACACCTATCAAATAGAACTGTGAGTCTTGATTTATGATCGCCCATTTCGTAGCTTTCTTTTTCTCGAATGTACACGCGCTCATTGCACGTACAATGCTATGGATATCTTGGAAAACATTCCGAGGTATAGAGAAGATGGACCACCATACTGGTTAATATTTGTTGGTCAAAACACAAGTACTGTGAAGCCATACCATTACAGTCCAAAAATATTTTAGATATCTTAGCAGCTTTGACAATATTCGTTGACAAATACCATCAACAAAACTGACATCTGACTGTGAAATTCTTTCAAATCAGACGATATTAAAAACTATCTGCGTTCAAAAAATGTAAACCAATATTTCATTGTCGACCAAAACCATTCTGCTCTTGGTGTCATTGACGGTTGTATAAAAATGTTAAGAGACTTAAAACCAACCACAAGGTGGTGAAGCAAATGAAATGTCATATGACGACAAATATAGACACTTCTCCATGGCAAAGATGAGACAAGTTTTAAATATTTACAATAACCGTAAACAAAAAGTTTGGGAAACCACTCCCCGAAGAAATGAAAAACAACCTGACTTAGAGAAAGACTATATATTTAATAATTTAGTCAAAAGAGACAAACAAGAAAGAATGCCGGGCTTCAAACTTCAGAAAGGTGACAAAGTAAAATAGAAATACCTAAACGCGACCCATATGAAAATACTATTGACTATGACAACAATGGGAACCCGACAGAGTACTCACATTCGTGTTCGTAAAAATAGAAGAAAGTATACAAGAGAATATTATGAAGTTTTAGGCAAACATGGCAAAATGTACACACTGCAAGCAGAAGATAAAACTACTATGTCAGACCTCGTTTCAAACTTGTCAAAGTTCAAGGTGGTATACTTTCAAAGACAGTTCCTAACAAATATAAGACAACTCCTGACGAATATGCTAAAGAAGTTGAAAATGACGACTAAGCAATTCTATACCATGCGTAAACTGTCATGTAAGGTGGCATGTAGTCTTTACTTTGTCCCGTTGTTTGCGTATATCCTGTAACGCGATGTGTATGGTTTCCATCTCCCTGAGTGTCACTCCAGTAACAATTTATAGCAAACTGAACGTCGTCTTTAACATCATATCCTTTACCTTTTTTCAAGGCGTGCCAATCCCAAAATTTATGCTTATGCCAACCTGCTTGAGATGTACTTAAATCTATGTAGTGACTGTGTGCAGGTAAATTTTCACCTGAAATCGTTTTACTTCCCCCTGTTTCCTTTGAAGAGTTTGCACAATACAAAAACCTGTCGACTATTTGAGTCCAAGTTCCAAAACCCAGAACTGTTTCTGGTCTGGTAGAGTTCATTGACGTATAAATAGAGCCTATAGGATATAATGTTTGAAGTATTTCTGTCTTTAATGTTTGAAGCTCTGTTTTGTCTGCTTTCTTGTCATATTAAATCTTGAGCAGTGAATTTAATATTATGTTCATCCTTCATGACATAAACATCTTTACATCTAATGTTTCTCATTCGTTATGTTGTCATCCGATGTTAAACCTTGGTGGAAAGTTAGGAGGTTTAAAATATAATACATCCCCACCAGTTTCTTCAACCGTTCCTTCAATACTTTCTATACCAACAGTTGTGAAGGATTTATGTGTATGGTTCTTGTCTGCTTTCTTTTCAAGGCTAACGTTTAAGTCTGTTATTTCAGAAGATGTATGTGTATGTCCAACGGCACTTTTACTGTTTAAGGTTTCTTGTAAGTTTGTAATATCAGATATAGAATGTATATGAGTCTTTTTAGAATATTCGTTTTCAGCTCTTGTCACTTCACTTGACATTTTATTGTCAACATATGTTTTGTCTGCTAGTTCAGGATGAGTATGTTCTTTTGTTGCATAAGCATTGTTAGCTCTTTCTTCTTCTTTTGCTATTGCATCGTCTACATATCTTTGTCAGCTTTGTTGTCAACATCTGCTTTCAAAAAAGTTCATTTATAGGTTTCTCGTTTAAAGTTCCTTTGTTTGATTTATACAGACAGTATTGTTCTTATTGTCTTGAAATAGAAACTCATCTGTCATTGGGTTTAATGTCAGTTTTAAGTTTCCTTCTTTCAATGACTCAGATATCTTAGAATAGTTTGAAAAGTTTGTGTGTTCTTATTTAGAGCTTGCATAATGAGTTGTCGGTTGTGTTGTATTTCTCTCATGGAAGCAATATCTTTCGACATTTTTATTATAGATAAAATATGCTTCCAATAGAAAAAGAAAATTCAAGAGTTGCTACAACTAAACCATTAGATGAACTTTTTACTAATATCGGTCAAAAGTTTGAGACAGAGACCGTAAAGCATGAAGGCTATCGTTTTGACTACCCATTAAGATGGTTAAGAGACCCATCTGTCACAAAAGCTATTGGCTTTCGTAGAATGAAGTTCATTTCAGAAGCCATACATGGTTCCCATTTACGGTCGGTTTTGAAGTTCGATACTTATAACAAAGAAAAACGTATGTATGAGAAAATTGAACAGGGAAAACTTTTACAAGTTAGTTTGTTTGTAAACTTAGAAACAACTCTTCAAGCTTTTCAAGAAAAAATAAACGATATCTATCTCGAATATGCAAAACCAGTATAACATTGACGAAGGAGAGTACCATCTCGATATTATTTATGACAGGAAAAATGCAACTGTTAAAATCAATAAAATAGAAGACCTTGGAGAAAACGTTTATATTTCTACAAAATATAACAACTTGGCATGGTATAGATTTATGAGGATGTTAAATCAGCCTGCAGCATATCCAGTACACCCAGACTTTTATGAAGTCGAAAACCCTAATGGAACATATGAAAATGTTTTCGACCAAGATGCTATTATTGTTCATGCTTCATTTTCTGGTGCGCAAAACTCTTTCTTATGCTTGGCAAATGACTTTTACGAAAAACCTACAAAGTTATACGAACCACCAAGTGAAGTATTTCAGACTTTCAAGTATGGTTTACTACAGATGGAAGAAAAAGAATAATTCCATTATACCATGCGTTTTACTTAGAACTTAGTTTCATATACAACTACTATCGAACGGTAAAAATATAATTTTTTAATACGGTTGAGGTGTTGGATTTGGTTGCCAACTTGACTGTGGTGCAGGTTCAGGCTGTTGTATAACAGGAGCTTGTTTTCTGGTTCAGGGTCTTTAGGTATAATACCAACGAACTGACCTACTCTTTTACCAATATTTTTGACTCCGTTCCAAATTCCTCTTCCTACAGATTTTATTCCATTCCATATACCTCTTTCCAACTCTTCTGAAGAAGTTTCCATACTACTGAAGAAACCCATTTTACTATATGTAAAAATCTAATGTCCGCCTAGTCTCTTACGTTTCCTGTTGAGTTCCATAGCATTCTTTAACTGGAGCTCATACATTCTGTTTCTCCTCTGGTAGAAAACATATTCTGGGTCAACTCCTGTGTTCGCGTCATCTGCATAAAGTTGTTTATATCCCACTTCAGGGTTTGTATAAAACTCTTTCCATCTCATATTTGCATACCATGGTTGCAAACCTAACGCAGCGTCATTTGACATGGCAGTTTGCATTTGTACATCGTTGGCACTTGACCATAGTTTGCCATTGCAGTTTGTATTCTAACTTCATTTGGAATATTCTCTGGGTTTGGTTGTCCAGGTTGCTGTGCATTCGCTAAGTTCTGTGCGTCCATTTAATATTAGATAAAAATATCTCTTACGAGTACATATACTGAACATTTGCAGGCATTGGTTCATCTTCATATTCTCTGTACTTTCTTGCCACGTCAAATAAATAAATGACACAATGGAAAAAACCTAAAACAAGTAGTCCAATTTCAAACCACATTTACTTACTAATAAAATTTCTTTATTGTGACACTTTCTCCAGTTTATAGGACCTCTCTCATATTCTATCTTGTCATATATAAACTCATAGTCATGTATGTCCTCTAACCATCTCATAACGGTTTCCAAACCACTTTTATCGGATGTAAAGTAAAAGCATGGATGGTTATGTATAACGTCTAAAGTTTCTAAAGAGTCTCTCAAAGTCCAGTCTACTTGGTATTGAAAATCCCATGTGTTATAGAACGGCGGGTCCACTATAAAGAAAACATTTTCCTTGTCTTTATATTTTTCATACAACTCTGTCCAATGACATCTCACAAACTCTATACCCTCAATATATTTTTCTATGTTCTCTTTGAAAACATTTGTATAGTTAAGATATAAAACTTTTGACATAAGTGTTTCAATGTCATGAACTCTTATAAACCACTATATAATAGTCTAGCAGATATACTATCCCAGTCTATATATTCTGCTTTTTTCAAAACCTCTCTCACAATATTTTTCTTATCTAATGGTATACGTTCCATCTTACCTATAGGTATCTTTTCTTTTAACTCTTTCAATATATTGTTTGTGTCTGGAATATGTTTGAGACGGTCCAATTAGTTGTCAAGTCATTGCATATAATCTTTGAGTCTGGGAATATTATATGGCACAAATGGGATATATAGAAACTTCCACCGAACAAATCTACAAATGTTAGACCATTCGGTAGTTTCTTAAGTTCTCTCAATATATATCTTTACATCTACTCTTATTTCCAAGAACGGTAACGGTGGTTTTGTAAAATTCATTTATATATAAATAAAAATGTTTTTACCTGAAAAGTGACAGAAAAGTGAAGACTTGTAACTATCCGCACATATATTCCATCGTTATGACTTTAGCAACAAGAGCTCTGGACTATGGGTGTGTTTCTCTTTCATTAATCATACTCAAGCCTTCATTACAGACAGTTGCTTTCATTGTTCAAAAACCGTAGAATTTTTTCCAAAATGATGATTAAAGCTATCTTTGAACTGAGATTCTATATTGTAACACATAAGATACATTCAAATCATATCAAAATATCAATATAATGCATAGTCAACAAAATTAGAAATGACTTCCTGTAATTTATAGATATTCTTACCTTTATAACTTAAAATCTCATAACACATATATAATTTTTATTAGTAATCCAATCATGGAATTAGAATTACAACAGCTTTATTCATTTTCAATCTTTGACAAAAGTTTAAGGGAGGCTTCCGACCAGAAGCAAAGAAGAGACCTTGATAATATTGATCCCTTATTCCTCCAGATAGATTTATTGAGGATTTGTTCATCAATGTTCTAATTATATTTCTCTTCTAATTCTAACAAATCTTTGCTCAATATTACTCTTTCTTCTTCTTGCGCTTCGATCACCCAACCAGCCTGCTCAAGTAAATCAGATGATAGCTGTTGAGACTCATCCTTTTCAATTGAAAATTTCTCAAGAGCTGGGAAAAGAATATTTTGGCATAGTTCATATAGATTCTCATCATCATGTTTCGGCAATTCTCTGGTTGCTTCCTATCTGCTTCATAATTCTTGACACTGGCTGAATTCCAAGTAACTGTCGATATATTTATAAAGACCTATAAGTGATTCGTCGTTTGAGATAAGCGATTCTAATATCCAATTGACGGGAGACTTTTGTTCTTTCATCTTTTGGATCAAGTGTTCACAGAAATCGTAACCAACTGAACTAAGCGATGAAATTAGGTCCTTTCTTTCGATTTTATCGATATTTTATACGTGCAATTGTAGTACATGCAGGCCTACACGTATTAATTCTAGGTTTCCAACATAATAGCCTACATTAAAGAGGTCACCGGCTATTTCGTTAGTGATTGAAAGATAAGAAATTTTTTCTCCTTTCATTACAGTTTCCAGTAGTTTGTATGTCAATTCCGTCTTCACAAATGCAGAAAATTCAATTTTTTTCATAGTTTTATCCAACTTTCTAGAATTGCGAATACTATTGCTGAAGTTTTCAGCGACCACTGATGTCGTTTGGAAGGCATGGCCATCGATATACACTGATATATCAGGGTAATCAATTATAGAATAATCCATTTATGCAAAATGATTCAATCGATTTTTTAAAAAATCCAATAATTCAAAAAAGTCAGGGATTGAAAACTTAATTCTTTCATATAATTTGTATTATATGGATGGATCAAAAATATATGGTTCCAATAAGAAAATTATAAAAAAATCCAATAATTTGTGAGGAAACGTATTTTGAAAATGATTTGCATTCAATTCTTTTTTGACATCCAAAACAAAATTTTGCATTCAAAATAGTCTGAAAAAAATATAAATAGTCTAAATTGATTAGAATTCTTATATAGAAGAATCTTAATGATTTTAGCGAAAATTTTTATCCCTTCAAAAAGTAAAAATGGCACCATATCGTCAATCATGCCGCGCAAGTCGCCAAGAAACAAAAAAAAATCCAATATGATATTTTATCTCGTAACTACTTTAAATCACAGAAATACTTGTTTTTAGATGATACAACAACAAATTGTTTTTGAAATTCGAAAAAATATGATATTATGAGTAAAAATATATATTCAAATAAATTGTTTATATTTACACTTCCGTTGCAATAACTCTTTGGCGCGTGTCAATCTTCTTATCAGATTTTTCCACCTTTATTACATAACCAGGCTTCTTTTCAGAGTCAGCATTTTTAATTTTCTTGAGGATTCTGGGGCTTCCTTTTCTTGGACTTCCGTCATTTGGTTTTACAACATCATTAATCAAGATATTGTCAGGACGTTTGATTTTCTTGTACATTTTTACTCCAGGCTTGAGTTCCATGTCCGGAGTTATTGGTACAATTCTTCGAACAGTTCCATCGCGGTCAATAACAGCTTCTGCTGGAAGAAGTTTCGTATTACGAGCTCTGAGAACTTCAGGGTCGTTCCAATGAACAAAGAAACGGGAAAGAAGAACAATGAAATTGTAGCCACATGGCGAATATGGCTCTCTATCAGTTCTAATTAGAGCTTTTGAGAAATGCGCGCCGAGTTTCGTGATGGCAACAAAGATAACATCAATATCGCGTGCCAACCTGGAGATTTCCGTCATTCCTTCTGTGTAGTCCGGCAAGATCTCATAATCGAAATCAGAAATATACATAATGAATTCGAAAAGCTTGTCGTACGTATGCTTCTCCAGTCTGTCATTGATATCAGAAGAATGTCGGTCGAGTAATCCAAGCCTAAAGACCTTTCTCAACTGAAGAATTAATGGTTTGAAAATTTCTTTATGGGCGACTTGGACTTTGAGGATTGCTTCTGGGTTCAGAATCATATCTGAAACAGGACCAAGCAAGAAAAGTTCCGAATCAAATCATATAACGAACCAAGATTATTATGAGCAAAGAAGCGACTTCTTTAACAATACTTAGGAGGTGGTGGAGCTCAGGAGATACATAGATGTAACTCTGTGAGTAATCTTGATCACTGTCGTTAATAAAACAACAGATTTGTCAATTGATGATTTATCATCAACATTGACATTGGAATCATCAATATATTTAACAAGTGTCTTCATGAAATTCATAATATTGCCACAGCTCTTCATGAAAACAACATTAACAAGATTTTTCAGATGATATGGAGCTGTGATGTCAGGATTGGACTCAAAGAACTTCAAAACAACAAGTTGATAGAATTGGTGATTTTGCCTGCATAGCAGAAGATGTTGAATAAAGATCTCATGAGAATCAAAGATTGTTGATGATCTGGAGGAACAAGTTCAAAAGAGTACGAACATAAACAAAATTGAATGTGTGACTGCAGCATATATTGCCTGATAAACTTGGTCAGGATATGGCTCGATAATTGATGACATAAAATTATAAAAAGGAATTGGATCATTATACATCTGATCCATGAAAGGATATGTTGTGGATCCTTCAAAACAAGATTCTTGCATATCGGTTTGCCATTTAAGCCGATTACAGAAATTCCATCTCCTGTTTTTGTTCGAATTACTTCTTTAACGAGTCCTTCTGCTTGTACAACAAGTCTTTATCTTTAACACCTATCAAATAGAACTGTGAGTCTTGATTATGATCGCCCATTTCGTAGCTTTCTTTTTCTCGAATGTACACGCGCTCATTGCACGTACAATGCGAGATTT